GACGACCCTACGGGACCCGCGGGGCGTCGCCCCTGCTCGTCGCGACGCCCCCTGCGGGACCCGCGCGGCGTCGCCCTGCTCGTCGCGACGTCCGTGCGGGACCCGCGGGGTGTCGCCCATGCTCGACGCGACGCCCCCTGTGGGACCCACGGGGCGTCGCCCCTGCTCGTCGCGACGCCCCCTGTGGGACCCGCGGGGCGTCGCCCCTGCTCGTCGCGACGCCCCCTGCGGGACCCGCGGGGCGCCGTCAGATCCTGCAGCAGCAGCCGCCACCGGCCTGCAGCAGCAGACGCCGCCGCCCTGCAGCAGCAGCCGCCGCCAGGCCTGCAGCAACAGACGCCGCCGCCCTGCAGCAGCAGCCGCCGCCAGGCCTGCAGCAGCAGCCGCCTCCAGAGCCTGCAGCAGCAGCCGCCGCCAGAGCCTGCAGCAGCAGCCGCCGCCAGAGTCTGCAGCAGCAGCCGCCGCCAGAGCCTGCAGCAGCAGCCGCCGCCGAGCCTGCAGCAGCAGCCGCCATCAGGCCTGCAGCAGCTGCCGCCACCGACCCAGCAGCAGCAGCCGCCACTCTACCAGCAGCAGCAGCCGCCGTCGCTCTGCCGCAGCAGCCACTGCCGCCCAGCAGCAGCAGCCGCCGCCAGCGCCTGCAGCACCTGCCGTCCCTGGACCCGGTACGCTCTGTGCTGCCCTGCCTGTGCTGCCCTGTACTGCCCTGCCTGTGCTGCCCTGTGCTGCCCTGCCTGTGCTGCCCTGTGCTGCCCTGCCTGTGCTGCCCTGTGCTGCCCTGCCTGTTGCTGCCTGTGCCTGTGCTGCCAGTGCCTGTGCTGCCCGTGCCTGTGCTGCCTGTGCCTGTTGCTGCCCGTGCCTGTGCTGCCCGTGCCTGTGCTGCCCTGTGCTGCCTGTGCCTGTTGCTGCCTGTGCCTGTGCGGCCCGTGCCTGTGCTGCCCGTGCCTGTGCTGCCCGTGCCTGTGCTGCCCGTGCCTGTTGCTGCCCTTGCCTGTGCTGCCCTGTGCTGCCTGTGCCTGTTGCTGCCTGTGCCTGTGCTGCCCGTGCCTGTGCTGCCCGTGCCTGTGCTGCCCGTGCCTGTTGCTGCCAGTGCCTGTGCTGCCCTGTGCTGCCCGTGCCTGTGCTGCCCGTGCCTGTGCCTGTGCTGCCCGTGCTTGTGCTGCCTGTGCCCTGTGCTGCCCGTGCCTGTGCTGCCCTGTGCTGCCCGTGCTTGTGCTGCCTATGCCCTGTGCTGCCCGTGCCTGTGCTGCCCTGTGCTGCATGTGCCTGGTGCTGCTCGTGCCTCGTGTTCGCGCCCTCGTGCGCTCTGCTACTGTCTTGGCCCCCTTTTCCAGGTTTGGGGGTGGCTGGTGTGCATTCCTCCCTTTGCTCCTCCTCCTTCGTCTCCCACTGCTGCAGCTGTCGCTGAGGGGGGTGGTTGTGTGGGAGACTGGGGTTTAGGGCTTAAGGGGGGTGCGTGGGAGTGGAGCTAGCGGTGTAGCAGCGGGTGTGTGTCAGGGGGGTGGGACTGTTTGGGGAAGCTGCATGGAAGTTGCCGTACTGTAGTCCGCAGCACCTGTAGTCCGGGGCGCTGTCCCGGTAGCCTAGTGAGCTAGACTTCTACGCCAGCCGCCCGTGGGTCCGTTGCCCATCTGCCGCTACTTGAGCCGCGGGGCCTGTTACTCCTGTAGTCCGGGCGCTGTCCGGTAGCCGCTGTGCCAGTCTGCCTCCTGTTGCCCGTGTGTCTGCAGCTTCAGCCGTCTCCTCCTATCTCCTCTCCCCTCACTCTCTCTCCTCCTCCTCACTTGCCCGTTGTGACTACCACTAGCTTTGCTCATAATTCTTAACTTTAAACTATTGCTTCTTTAACTTGTGCTCAGAATGTGTGGTGACATTGTGATCCACCCTGAGCTTGTACTGCTTTGCCTGCTCTGCTGATTACACCCCACTTTGGCTATGGGGGTGTGTAATCTAGGCTACTAAGTCTAGGCCCCACACCTACTATCTTAACATGGGAATGACGCGATCCTGGTCGTCGTCGATCGACTGACGAAAATGGCACATTTCGCAGCATGCAGGAAATCAATCACAGCCGAGGAAACGGCCCGACTCTTCATCACTACCGTCGTTCGACTACACGGGATACCAGCATCGATCATCAGCGACAGGGACACGAAATTTACCAGCAACTTCTGGCGGAACCTGTGGCAGGAGTTCGGCACGCGACTTCAATTCAGTTCATCCTATCACCCCGAAACCGACGGACAGACGGAACGGACAAACCAGACCATGGAGCAGCTGATTCGAGCCACGTGCGACGATCCGAACACGTGGGAACAGCAGCTGCCCCTCATCGAGTTCGCATACAATAACGCGCCATCAGCCACGACACAACAGTAACCGTTTTACTTGAATTACGGACAGGACCCAACAGTACCCATGACACCGAATCCCGACAATCCCGTCCCACGAGCACAACAGTTCGCCGAGATCCTGCAAGCAGCACGGACCAGGGCAGCAGAAGCAATAAAAAAATCAAATATCATCGCTAAACGCAACGCCGATCGCCACCGCAGACCCGTCACTTACCAGCCCGACGACCTCGTTTTACTCGACACTCAGAACCTCCGCCTGCCCATCACTCCCAAACTCCGCCCTCGATACAGTGGGCCATTTCGAATCAGTCACATGATCACGCCTGTGACCGCGCACCTCCTCCTTCCTGCTGACTGGTTCGTCAGCCCCTCGTTCCACGTCAGCCTGCTTCGCCCTTACGTACCATCCACCAGCCAACTCCCACGACATCGACCCTCCAGCATGACACGACCACCAACCGAACCAATCATCACACCCGATAAAATCCTGAGCCACAGAGTTCGTGACCCTCGAGGAGCCCGAAAAGTGGAGTTTCTGATCCGCTGGAAAGATCGTACCCCCACCGACGACAACTTGGTTCCCCTGGACAAAGTCGAAAACCACCCTGTCGTCACGGACTATCTGCGCAGCCGAAATTTCAGAGACGTCCACGCACTTTCGTAAAGAGGACCTCCTTAGGAGGGGGGGTAGTGTAAGGAAATTCCCTTTTCCTTACTTCGCGTCCCTGCTTAACGCGTATATCACTGTAGCACCTCAGTCAGCACCGTTACCACTCGCGACCATCGCATCATTCATCATCCCGCCATTTTCGCACATCGCATCCCGACCTCACGGCTCGGCTGGTAACCCGCGCTCCGGGCCTACGCTTCGACACTTTCCCAACATCAGTCCCAGTCTCGTCGCGCGACCATTACCGTTACCACTGTAGTTTCGCTATATATTGTTCGCTCATGCCTTCGCTCATTGTACTCTTGCTCCGATAGTGCAACTCTCGTTCGTTCACTCAATTGCACTCGTAACAGTACCGAAACTACCCAATAACAGTATTTTGAATACTAAGCCATAACACATAACGTCTGAATTCATTCTTCTTTTATATGCACATTGGTTGAGTTTGTAGGATTTGGTGGATAAATGTCAAAACACCACATCACTTCAACAATATTTTCATTCAACACACATTGCAAAGCAGTTTCGAATCTGTTTTCTGCTGTATACATAACTTTGGAAGATATGATATTTCATATTCATCTCATGATATATTATGTAGCTCGATAAACAGAGCCCCGATATTCGCTTGTCTCCACCATGTCATACTGATTGCATTTGCGCCTTTCTGGATAAATGAGTTTGCACCATGTCAGGTTATCATCTTCCATTGTTTGCAAAGTTTCCCTCTATCAAAAGGCCTCTGCCGCGAATACAAGTTTGAATTGCATTCGCGCTCAAACATTTGAGGAAGTCAGGTTGGCCGTACGATGTGATGGGCGGTTCGTCGATGAGAGATCTTGAAAGCTTTTGACATTGCGGCGCGACTGGTGTGGAGGATTAGGCCAATTCGAGCCAAAATTTGTTGGTCTTGCAACCCGTTGCAAGCTCATGGAGGCGCCAAACCACTGACGGTTAAGATTGCTCCAGTCATATGAATTCTCGGGGTTAACGGCAACGATGCCCCTCCGAAATTTGAATTCCTTCCAACCAAGTCCATCAATCACCGCACCAGATGCTCCTCATTCTTCCATCGCCTTTCAACCGGCTCGTTTCTCGGGGGCACTCCATTCCACAGCTCCTCTCCTCCACTCAACCAGAGCCGTCCGATTTCGCCGACCAGCGGCACCCATCGGCCACAAGAAACCGTACCCGTACGATAATGATTCAGAAAACAAGACATTCAGAGCAGTGCAACCCGCAAAAGAGTTGCTTTTCTCAATGCGAGCTTATGGTGCGAACTCTGGACCAGACGCTCTCGACAAACTAAGCTAGAACTACTAATGCGTTGTGTTAATTCACCTCGTTTTAGCTATTCAGGGTCTTATCGAACTTACCAAAGTCTTTCCTATGACGTAAGCTTGGGCCAGGATTGATCCATTTTAGGCGCTAGCTTGTACGAGCTCATGACGTAAGCTAGAACGATACAGTCATGTATACAGCTGACGATAACTCGCCATCACCGCGGCGACGACGACCGTTTAAGGTCACCACAGCGCCGTTAGCGGCCGTTCCCGCTGAAAAAAAGCGGAGGCGTACGGTCGGAGTAACGTTGCCACACCGTGAGATCGTAACAATGTCACCACTCGCTTCTTCTCCGACTGCAAGGCTACTCGGCTCTGGACGAAGCGGCGCCGCGGCAATTCTTCTGTCCCTAGGTGCGTGGCTACACAAAGCGTCGAACCATGACTTGACGAACTATATTTGAGTCTCGGATCCGATTGTCCTACGTGCAAGCAACTGCCCTTCAACGTGTCAGAGAACAGTCACTTCAGATGGATTCGCACCCCAGCACTGCCCTTGACCGAGCTTTTTTTCTCCCAAAGAGAGGTCTCACCGTTTCCTGCTCCTCCAGATTCTTTAATCCCTCGTTCCTCCTGCTTTGTTCCTTGGTTCCCACGCGGCTTCTTCTTGTTTCCTTCCAGTCTGCCCTTTCAATGTTTCCAATCTCCCACCAACACGTTCAACTCAACCAACCCCTTGACATCGTCTCCTCTCCGTCCCCCTTCTCGCTTTTCATCCCTCCAACCACCACCCCAACAGTGCTTCTTCTTGCAACACTGATTACCACACCCCCACAAGCCGCTGCGACCGCTGTTTCCGCTGGAAACTCAAGGACCGCCGCGGCAGCGCTCCTAGCACGCTCCGCAATCCCCGGGCCAACACCCATCGCCAACATCCCCCTCTTCCCCGCCGCCTCTCCCGCCGCCGCCATAAACGCAGGAGCTGGCGAGAGTGACGTCACTCATCCCGCTTCCGCTGCCGCCTCCCCCTCCGCCTCCCCCAGTACAGCTTCCGCTGCTCCTCACATACCATCCGCCCCCGCCGGCACTCCTTCAGCCATCCTTCCGCTTCCGCTTACCGCCATAGTCCCCGCCAAGAAAACCGCTACAGCTGCGGCTGTAGCGCCCGCGCCTGCGCAGGGCTCCACGTCACCGCCGCCCAAATCCCCTCCCGCCATGACTCGTGGCGGAACGGCAGGCGCGGTCAGCTTGGAGCGCGCACCGGTAGGGGCGGAGATTCTTCTGAACGCCGTGAAGGCCGCGGGGCTGCGCGCGCGCGCGAGCGCGTGCGTGTTTGACGCGGAGAAGCGGACATTCGAGTTGGTGGCGGGGCTGAGTACACTGTAAGTGGAATGCGCCTGAAGGGGATCCGTTACCAGCGCCTACTTGAAGTTCTAAAACAGTCATCTGTCCCATTAATAATATAACAGCCCGACGCCACCTCAGGCAACTTTCTGAAACTGCCTATGTCGTAAGTGAAAAGTTTCATCAGAAGTTGCTTTGATTTATTATAAAATTTCTCGTTGTTATTTCAAGCTTGCGCTTTTGCCTCCGTTTCCGATTCTTCGCCTGCTCGCAGAATTGCGCTCAACGCGACGGACGTGTGGGCGCCTCCCATTGGTCGGAAGGTGCTGACGAACGACTGCCAGTTCTTGATCGACGCCACGTGTCAAGATGTCACGCCCACTGGAGGATGCGACGACCACAACGAATGCACGACTGACACGTGTGTGCCTGCCAACCCAGCCACATGTTTGCCTTATCCCGACTGCCTCTTAGCGGGCCCGTCCTGTTCCTATACCGCGTCCCCTGGTAGTGAAACGAACCCAGCTTGCATCGCGCCGCCAACTCCCCCGTCTGCGCCTAAGGACTCAGTTTCGTCCGCTTCCGCCAATGTATCCGCGGGCGGTGGCGGAAGCGGGGACGAGGGGGAAGACGGCGGAAGCGGAGAAGGCGAGGGGAAAGACGGGGAAGGGGGGAAGAACGCGGGAAGTGCGGATTCGGATGCGGAGGGGGGAGAGAAGGGCGCGAGCGGGGAAGGGGAGCAAAGCGGCTCAGACGACACGTCTGCTTCGGTTGGCGGCGATGCTTCTAACGAGGATGATACCGGAGATAATAACGAGGACGGGTCAGACGACACTATCGAGATCGTGGGAACCATGCCGCCGCCTCGCAGCGCGTGCATCTTCATCCCCAATAAGAACCGCTTCATGATCCGCTTAAAGAACCACTTCCGCGTCCGCCTCTCCGCAAGCGACGCGTGGGCGCCGCGGCCCGGGCAAGTCGCCATGACCGGTAATTGCCGGTTTATAATCGACTCGGCGTGCGGGGTGGTGGGGAGGCCGGGGGGGTGCGACGACGGGGACGAATGCACGGACGATTACTGTCTATGGCAGGGCGGGAATAACACTCTCGGGAGTTGCACGCCGTTCCCGTCGTGCTTCTATGAGAGCGCGCGGTGCGAGAGGCGTGTGAAGGAGGAGTGCGTGGGGAGAGTGGAGGCAGGAGGAGGGGGAGGGGGACCGGGAGGGGGGCAAGTGGGGGATGGGGGGTTTGCGGCGGGTGGCGGAAAGGGGATTCGGACGGTGACTAGTGCCGGTGCTGCCGTGACTGGCGGAGCTGACGGCGCTGGCGGCGGCGATGGTGGTGACAGCGGGAGTGACACAGGGGCGGGTGAGACTAAAGCTAATGGCAACAGCACAGCCACTGACGGAAAGGAGAGCGGCGGCAGTAATGGCCGCGGCGATGGCAGCGGTGATGGCGGCGGCGATGGCGGCGGCATGAGCACGGAGGATATCGAGGCGTTGGAGGAGGAAGCACTAGCGCAGCGGCAGGCGCACGGGCAAGGGGCGCAGCAGGATTCCCCGGCAGACCAGGACGATTCACCAAACTCGGCAGAATCAGGCTCGGAGGACCCGGACTTCCTCGCCCCGCGCCTGCGCGCCCCGCTCCCCCGCCCCGCGTGCCTATTCCGCCCGAAGCAGGGCCTGTTCGTCCGCGTGGAGGGCTGGCCGTTCTCCGCGCGCCTCTCCCGCGCGGACGCGTGGGCACCGCCCCCCGCCGCCACGACCCTTTCCGGCGATTGCCGCTTCGAGCTCGACTCGTTCTGCTCGGTCGTGTCGCGCGTCGCGCGCGGGTGCGACGACGGCGACGCGTGCACGCTCGACACGTGCGCTTGGGCGGGACGCGCGAACCGCGTCGGCAGCTGCGAACCGTTCCCGTCGTGCTTCTACTCCTCCGCGTTCTGCGTGCACACGGACCTTTGCGGAAGGGTGGGGGGAAACCACACGCGCGCGCGGGGAGGGGTGGTGAAAGAAACGATGGTGGGTGGTGGAGGCGTGGGGGGGAATTCAGATGCGGGGAGCGGTGGTGGTGCTGCCGCTGACGGGACTGACGCTGATGCTGACAGTGATGGTGATAGCACTGATGCTGATGGTGCTGTTGATGCCAACGCTGGTGCGGATGGTGATGGTGATGGGGATGCTGACGAGGTGAACGACCCTTACTCCGACCCTCCGGATCAGGAATGGCCCAACTTCCAGATCTACCCTCCCCCCAAAACTGGTTTGGTGGTGGAATCTTCACAGAACCTTCCCTCTGGCGAAGGAGGAGGAATGTCCAACGCAACCGCCCCGACCACCACGCAAGACGTGCTCCGCACGCTTTCCCAGCCTATCCCCTTTACAGACACCTCCGTTTCAGGCTCTTTCAACGTGTACCATTTCGGCGCACTAGGCGACGGGCAGAACGACGATGGCGAGGCTATTGAGGCAGCTTTTAACGAAGCATGCAAGTGGGCGCGAAACAATAACGCCAAAGCAACGGTCACAATTCCTGCTGGAGCTGATTTCCTCACCACCCCCATGGTATTTTCGGGGCCCTGCGGGCCAGGTGTCATCTTCTTATTGGACGGGAGGATTCTGGCTCCAAACATGCCCGTTTCTTCCTACCAATCGGCTTACAGTGTGGTGGCGCATCTTTTTTTTGACCGGGTGAACGGGCTGACCGTGACGTCGTCCGGGCAGGGCAGGCAGGCAGGGAGTTTTGACGGGCAGGGGCTGGAGACATGGCGAGAACATTTGTCGCTCGGGCAGCCAGACTCATATGCCCGACCAAAGGGATTGTCTTTCCAAAAGTGTGATAATCTCGTTATAGAGCAGATTACTGTACGGAACCCGCCTGAGATGCACATCAGCATCCAGGAGTGCAACAATGTGATTGTACAGGAGGTGACTGCAATGAGTCCGTACAACAGCCCTGGCACTGACGGGCTGCACCTGGCCACTGCAACGAATGTGATTATAAGGAACTGCAGGATGCACACGGGCGGCAACGGCATCGCTATAGTGGATAAGAGCGCCAATATCAGCATCAGCCGTGTGTTCAGCTCCGCTGGCCGGGGAATCAGGTGAGGGCAGAGGGGAGGGATTGGGGGATGGCTGAGTATGAATATCTGTGGGTAGAATCAGTAGTACCCCACCAGTGCAACATCAGCATCGGCCATGTTTTCAGCTCTGCTGGCCGGGGCATCAGGTGAGGGCGGATGGGAGGTAAACCCGAAACGGGTGAGTATGGATACCTGTGGGTATGAGTTTCTTCAGGTATGAATACTTGTGGGTAGATTCAGTAGTACCCTACCACCGCCAACATCAGCGTCAGCCATGTGTTCAGCTCAGCTGACCGCGGCATCAACCCTGGTATGGGGGAAGTAAAAGTATGGTTCTCTGTGTGTATGATAAGCTGTGAGGAACTGTGAGTATGACATGCCACCCTTGCTCTTACGATCCCCCTCCTCTCCGAACCTTCACCTCGTCCACCAAATGGACTCACACCCTCCCTCCAATGCACTCTCTCGGTCGTTCCACACATCCCCCACTCTTGACCTCCATTGCCTCCCTCCTCTCTCTGTCCCTCACCGCCCCTCACTCTCTCCCCCCAGGTTTGGATTCCACCACCCCTCTCTTGTCTCGCCTCCTTCAGATCTCTCACTTTCCCCAAACCACCAACCCACCTTCCCTAATTCCACCTTCCGCTTTTCTCCCCTCCCTACCCCCTGACAGCATATTCAATCTCGGCCGGGACCACTTCACGGCGTGTGTAACGAATGTGACTGTAAAGAACGCGACGGTGTACGGAGGGAGGAACGCGCTGCGCATAAGCACGTTCCAGGGCGGCAGGGGGTGCGTCTCCAACGTGCACTTTGCTGACGTGGAGGTCATCGAGACAACCGAACCAATTAAAATCGACCAGGTCAGCGGATTCTCCTTAGTATGTGAAGACCCCAATTAGGGTCTGTCTGGCCCCACCCCACAGGTGAGTTGACTTTTGAGTCGACTCAAAAGTCAGACCGCAGTTAGGGTCTGTCTGGCCCCACCCCACAGGTGAGTTGACTTTTGAGTCGACTCAAAAGTCAGACCGCAGTTAGGGTCTGTCTGGCCCCACCCCACAGGTGAGTTGACTTTTGAGTCGACTCAAAAGTCAGACCGCAGTTAGGGTCTGTCTGGCCCCACCCCACAGGTGAGTTGACTTTTGAGTCGACTCAAAAGTCAGACCGCAGTTAGGGTCTGTCTGGCCCCACCCCACAGGTGAGTTGACTTTTGAGTCGACTCAAAAGTCAGACCGCAGTTAGGGTCTGTCTGGCCCCACCCCACAGGTGGCTGTCAGGAAGCATACCTAATAAAAGAATCATACCCGTTGCTTCTGAAACTTCTTCATCACGACCTGAATGAGGACAAGTACGTGTTTTGAAACTGGAGCAACAGTAGCTCTTGCCACGCATGCAATCACCTCCTGTTGTTGTATCTCCCTCTCACGCATCTCACCTTTCACCACCCTTCACCTCTCCACCCATTGGCAGACCCGATGCAGTGACGGCTCCTACAGCTGCAGCAGTAGCACTGATGCTGAAGATGACAGTGACAGCGATGATGCTGGTAGCACTGTTACCAGCAGCAGCAGCAGCGGTGACAGCACTAACAGCAGCAGCGGTGACAGCACTAACGGCGGCGGGAGCGGCGACGCAGTGGCGATAACCAACGTGTCGTTCCGGAACATCTACGGCACGAGCAACCACACGCACGGGATCTACGTGCGCTGTAGCCCCACCGTGCCATGTGTCGGCGTCTCATTCGCCGACATCAACATCACCCCCAGCAGGAGCCTGCTCAAGGCCCAGGCGGCGGAAACACAGCTACAGCCGGAGAGGCAGCTACAGCCAGTCATGGAAAATGTACTGGTGACGCCTGGGAGCAGCATCAAGTCTCCCTTGGGAATTCCGGAGCTGAAAAAGGAAGTTACGGTGGAGGAGGAGGGGAGGATACGCGCGATGATGAGCGCGTGTGAGTACCCGTTCCGTGTGGTTGATTTGGATGCTATCCTGGCTCCTTTTCGCCAGGCTGGCGCGAAGATCCAATCGCATGATGACACGTCAGATGTAGGTGAGGGAGAGAGGGGGGTTGGGGAGGAGGGGGGGGAGGAGGGGTCTGGGCTGACTGCGGTGGAGAGCGGTGAGGGTGGTGATAGTAACGGGAGTGAGAGTAGTGGGGTGGGAGGGAGAGAGAACGGGGAGATTGATACTGGGAGGGCAGGGGAGGAGGATGAAGTGCCTCCGTTGCAAGCTAAAGAGGCGACAGGAAGTGACACGGGAGGAGGAGAGGAGGGGGGAGAGAGTGGAGCGAGCAAAGGGGGAGAGAGTGGAGAGGAGGGTGGGGATAGTGAAGGAGGAAAGGGAGGAGAAAGTGGAGGAGGAGATGGTGGGGATGACGGGGGAGGGAGTGGAGAGAATGGAGGTGAGAGCAGTGAGGGGAAGGAGGGTGACAGCAAGGAGGGTGCAGCATCGAGCAAGCAGGAGGAGGAGAAGAAGAGGAGGGAGGAGACGCTGAAGCGAGTGAGGGAGGCGAAGAGCAAGAGGGAGGCACTGCGGCAAAAGTGGAGGGAGGCGAGGGCGAAACGAGGCGGAGGGGTGGCGAAGCCGACCCAGGTGGACGGGGATGGGGCTAAGGTAGCGGAGGGGAGTGGGGAAGGGAGTGAGGGAGGAGGGAGTGAGGGAGGAGGGAGTGAGGGAGGAGGGGAGGAAGGGGGCCAGGGCAGCAGTGGAGGAGAGTCAAGCGGCTCTAGCACCCCCAGTGGTGGGGGTGGAAGTGATGGCGGTTCATCCCAAAAGCCCAGTGGGACTGGTGGGTCGAGTGACGGAGGAAAGGACGCTGGTGGCACCAGTGCTGGAGGTGATGGTGATAGTGGGTCTGGATCAGCGGAAGGAGAGCAAGGGGGGGACAGCAGTTCGGGTACGCAGGCGGGTGGAGGAGAGGAGGGAGGAGGAGAGGAGGGAGGAGGGGAGGGTGCAGGAAACGAGGGTGCAGGGGACCAAGGGAGTGAGGGCAGTGCCGATAATAACAGTGGTGGTGATACTAGCGCCGGTGACAATGGCGGTGATAGTGGCGGTGATAGTGGCGGTGATAGTTCCAGTGATAGTTCCGGTGATAGTTCCGGTGATAGTTCCGGTGATAATTCCGGTGATAGTTCCGGTGATAGTTCCGGTGATAGTTCTGGTGATAGTAACGGAGATGGCAATGGAGGAGGGGAGGATGATACAAGTGGGGGCGGAGGTGGAGAGGAGGAGACAGGCAATGGGGGAGATGATGGTGCAGGAGGAGGAGGAGAAGGAAGAGAGGGGGGAGCAGGAGGAGGAGAAGGAGGGGGGGGAGGAGGGGGAGGAGGGGGAGGAGGGGGAGACTGGGGCGAAACCCCCCCAGCGGACTATACCGCGGACGACACCAGTGACGACACCAGCAGCGGAGGTGATTATAACGCGGATGGAGGCGCAGAGGGGGAGGAGGGAGGTGGGGGAGACGGAGGAGGGGGAGAGGGAGGAGAGGGCTCCGATGGGTCGGGAATAGATCCGTACGACCCTCTAGGCTCATCAGCGTCTGGTGGTAATGGTGGGAGTGGTGGTAGTGGTGGTAACAGTGCAAATAGTGGTTATGGTAGTGGTGGTGGTGGTGGTGGTGGCAGTGGTGGCGGCAGCGCCAGGCAAGGGGGCAGCAACAGCGGTAGCAGCGGGAATGTGCAGGATGGAATATCATTGGGAAGCCGCACCAGCAGGAGTGGCACCGGCAGCACCGGCAGCACTGGGGGAAATAGGAGTCCCGAGGAGGTTGTTGGGGCCACTGGTGATGGCACAGGTGGTGGCACTGGCGGTGGCACAGGCAGGTACGGCGGAAGCAAAAGGCCTGATTACTCCTCGCGTGAGACCTCTTCTGGACCTTCAGGTGGCTTTTCAGGTGATTCCTCAGGTGATTCTTCTGGAGAAGGCTCCTCAGGAGACTCAGCACCAGAAATCGACCCGTATGATCCGCTGGCTTCGGTTGAAAAGGGAGCGACAGGAGGCGGAGGAGGAGGAGGAAGGGGAGGAAGCAGGGGTGGTGATGGCACTGCCAGTGGCAGTAGCAGCGATGATACTGGCTCAAGCAGTCATGGCGCAGGCAAGGGGAGCAGCAGCGGAGGTGGGGCCCTGAGCTCTGACACAGCCAGCCGCAGCAGCAGCAGCAGCAACGGTGGTCGTAGCAGTGGCGGTGGCAGCGGCGGGAGCAGCAGCGGCGGGAGCAGCAGCGGCGGCAGCAGCAACAGTGATGGGAACGTGTTGCTAGATGGGGGTGGCGGCAACAGGCTTATAGAAGGCGGGGGCAGCCGCAGCAGCAGCGGTGGAAAGGGCAGCAGGACAAGTGGGTACAGCAGTGCGGGGAGTAACGGGTATTATGGGAGCGGAGGGGGCAGCTGGAGAGGCAGAGGCATGCCGAATGACCCGTGGCGAGGTGCTGGGGGAGGGAACACGCTGGGAGGCGGAGGGAATGGTGGGAGTAAGGGCAGCAGCGGGGGGCAGAGTGCGAGTGGGGTGCAGAAGGTTGGGAAGAGCAGCGGAAGTGGCAGCACTAGCGACAGCAGCAGCAGTGGTGGTGACGAGGAGGAGGGGGGAAGCAGTGGGAGCGAGAGCAGTGGTGGCACTGCAGGGATGAAAGGGAGGAACCAGCACGGGGGGATAGGATCGAACAAGGTCGGCCCGATGCCAGATGATAAGACCACAGGGGGAAAGCACAAGAGCCATAGCTCTGCTCCCAGCAGCGGTGATTCCCCCAGCAGCAGCAGCAGCAGCAGCAGCAGCAATGACTCCCTGAGCAGCAGTGGTGGTTCGTCCGGCTCCTCCTCTTCACCTGCGCCTGATGCGAATTCTGAAGGGGATGGTGGGGACGGTGGGAGCGAATCAGGTGGTGACACGTCGGATGCTGGTAATGCAGGAGGGGAGGGGGAAGGCGGAAGCAGCGATGGGGGCAGTGGGGGGGGCAGTGGCAGTGGAGGGGGGTTCGTGGGGCACAAGGAGAGGCAGGAGAAGGCAAGGCGGGAGAAGGAGCGGCAGGGGCAGCACCTGGGGTACAAGGAGAGAGGGGGTGCTGGGGAGACTTCTCCTTCGGGCGGATCCAGTGATAAGAACAGTGGTGACAGTAACAGCAGTGACAGTAGCAATGACAGTAGCAGCAGGGATAGCAACGGAGGTGACAGTAGCAGCAGCGGCAGCGGAAGTAACAGTAAGAGCAGTGATGGCAGTGAGAGTGGCAGTAGTAGCAGTGGTGGTAATGGGTCAGGTGGAGGAAGTGGAGAGAGCAGTAGCAGCAACAACGATGGTGGCGATGACAGCAGCAGCAGCAGCAGCAGCAGTGGTGGTGGTGGCACTACCGAACCTGGAGGCGGTGAGAGTGAGGCAGAGAAGGCTGGTAGCAGTGACAGCAGCAGTGACAGCAGCAGTGGCGGCGGCGGCGGCAGCAGCAGCAGCGACGGCGGCAGCGGCGGCGGCGGCGGCGGCGGTGGCAATGATGTTAGCGGTCCCCAGTCAACCCAGAGCAGTAGCAGCGGCAGCATTGGAGCAACAGCAAAGAAGCACGGCAAGAAGAGAGGAGGCAAGGGAAGTGATGGAGGAGAAGGGAGCGTATGGTGGGACGCCGTCAGCAAGGTGGGGTTGCCGAAGAAGGGGAAGAAGAAGGGAGGAGGAGAAGGGAAGACGGCGAAAAAGGATGGTGGGGGGGGGGGGAACGTTCCAGTGATAGGAGGGGTGGGAGGAGGAGGGGAAGGCGGAGAGTTGTCTAATGGGACGAGCTCCTCTCGGGATTCCTCTTCGAGTTCCTCATCAGATACCTCCTCAAACTCCTCTTCTGATTCCTCTTCTAACTCCTCGAGTTCTTCGCCCGATTCCTCATCCAATTCCTCTTCGAGTTCGTCGTCGGATTCTGGAAAGGCAGATTCGTCAGGTGATGAGGCTGCTTCAGAGGGTGGTTCTTCGGATGCAGCTGGGGGGACCGAGGGTGCTGGTTCGGGGGAGGCGGGGGGGAAGGGGACGGGTGCAAAGAATGAGACCGTGGACGCGGGTGGGGAGAAGGGGGGTGATGCGGGCGACGAGGGCTCAGGAGAGGGGGAGAATGAACAGGAGGGGGAAAAGGGGGGTGGTGAGGGAGGGAGTGCGGGAGGAGAGGAGGCATCACAGGATGGGCAAGGGGACAAGGGGACGGATGGGACAGAAAAAAGCACGGCAGAGGAAGGGAGTGGCGAACAGGTAAAGGAAGAGCAACGAGCAAAAAACACCACGAGCAGTGGGGAGGTGAAGAGCGGAGGAGGAGCAGATCCGCCCACTGGGAGCAGTGAGGAGAAGGTGACAGGCGATGGAGGGGAGAAGGAAGGGGAGGCAAGTAACACCACAAGCAGTGAGGAGGAGAAGGGGGCAAGTGATGGAGGGGTGAAGGAAGGAGAGACGAAAAACACCACAAGCAGTGAGGCGGTGAAAAGCGGAGGCGTAGTCCCGCCCACGAGCAGTGATGAGGAGAAGGTGGCAAGTGATGGTGTAGCAGAGTCCCCCAACGGGAGCAGTAAGACTGACTCTAGTGGAAACGATGGTAACAGCTCAGGCAACAGTTCTGCCAGCTCAGACAACTCAGGCAACAGTTCTGCCAGCTCAGACAACTCAGGCAACAGTTCTGCCAGTTCGGACTCGAACCCGGAAACTGACAAATTAGGTGATAGTTATGACAGCCTGGATAAATCTGACGACTCAACCACCAGTTCTGACAGCTCAAACACCAGCGCTGACAGCTCAACCACCAGTTCCGACAGCTCAACCACCAGTTCTGACAACTCAGCCACCAGCTCTGACAGCTCAACCACCGGCTCTGATAACTCAACCGCCAGCTCCAACAGTTCAACCACCAGCTCCGACAGCTCCGAGTCAAAGTCTGACAGCTCCGAGTCAAAGTCTGACAGGTCAGAGGCGCAATCTGACAGCTCAGGCACGGAGGTTTCTGGAGAGGAGAGCGGCGACGCGGGTGAGGAAGGAAGCAATGCGAGTGCGCCTTCTGTTGGGGATGGTGGGGATGGAGGTGGGGGGGGTGAGGGGAGCAGTGGTGGAGTGGGAAGCGGTGATGGCACCGACAGTGGATCAGAGGCAGGGGAGGGTGCTGGGGCGCAAGCATCTGATGGTGCAGGGGCAATAGCACCATCTGTTGGGGAGGATGCTGCTGAGGCTCCAGCATTAGACATGAAAGAGGCTGCAACGACAGCAACAGCACCAGCATCAACACCACCACCAGCATCACCGGCACCACCATCAACACCAGCTCCAGCAGCAACGCCAGCAGGAAGTGAGGAGAACTCGTCCTCACCTTCAGCAGCATCAGCAACTGTGTCATCACCATCTGCACCACCATCGGCAACACCACCAACAGGGGAACCAGCAGCACAGGCGCCGCCATCGGCACCAGCAGCAGCACCCGCAGCGACCTCCACTGCAAACCCTCTCACTTCCTCTTCCCCTCCCCCTCCTCCCAAAAAGAAGAAGAAACAAAGCTCCCAGTGGGTCTGGTGGCCGTTTGGAAATGGAAAAGGCGGGGTGAAGAGTGACGTGGATGCGCTGCTTCCTCAAGGCTGGGGTGGTGCAGCAGCGAGCGGAGTGGGAGGGATGGGGAATGGGAGGAGGGAGAGGCTGTACAGACCAGCAGTGCAGCCTAATCCAGCTGTGATTGGGGGGGGAGGGACTGGCCAGGGAAGTGCAGTTGCTGCCTCAACTGACCTCGCCTCATCTGGTTCCTCCTCCTCCCAACCTACAAGTGGCGTGCGCATAGTCACTCCTGGAGTCGAGCCGATATACAGTGCTGGGGACATGTTATAGTGCTTGAGTACTAAACTTGGAGCACATGCTTTTAGTAGGAAGATGTATTTGATGTGGTCTGAGTTGACTTCAGAGAAGCCTGCTACTCTGTTAAATACCCTAGTAGAAGGTGGCCGCTATGTGTTTAAATTGTGTGAGAAGCTTGCAAGTCGAAGCTTCTGTAAAAAACTTAAAATTGAAGTTAAACAAAACCTTGCAAATCAGGTGATTGAAAAGCCACTGAAAAGCCACAGTTGAAGGCGGGACAAACTTGTATTCACCCCAAAACCAACAGACTTAAAAGATTGGCAGCACTATTGCGCTGCCATGTAGAAGGGTGAAGGCGGCTGCTGAGGTGACACTTTTCGCATCCTCTTGCAGTTATGACCATCCCTCAGTAACGAGGCTGTCGTAGACGAGCGGAGCGCACAAACACTTGCGTCACCCACTTCCGTCACCCCTGCAGTGTTATTAGACTCCGAGACCCCAAAACAATCACAAATCTCAAGCGAAACCCATCCAAAATCACCAAAAAAGATAAGAGCCAGGTCTCCTCAAGCCCCTCAATAGCTCTGCAGATCTTCCCGAGCACTCATACAACCAGGCCCTGCTCCAACGTTATTCGCATTGCACATAGCAACCGAAGGTGCGGCAGCAAAGGAAGGAGCCACTGCTGAGTCCAGCATGGGGAGGACGGGAGTTGCCAGGGGTTGGCAGTCCAGAGCAAGGAACGAGGTGTATCCTTCGGCGTCCTCATCCTCCTCATGTTCCATCCCCTGCCAGTCCACCACCTCATCCTCACACAGAACCCCAGCGGACTCTTGAGAGTGGCTGGGGTTCCAGCAACCTTCAGGTCCGGATTCTGTGACGTCAGATACAGGCGAGGGGACGATGGAGGGATGGCAGTAACCGAGAGCTCCATAGGATGCAGGTGGCGACTGAGGCGCAGAAGCAGTAGTATGAAGCATAGGTGGAGGCATGGCGTAAGGAACGGATGAAAGGCTGCTGTGCACGCTGGGAACGCTGGGAACCATTCCATCAGCTGCCAGACGATCGACTACTAGTGATCCTGTATCCACGCACCCGATACTGGGTGAACTGACAAGCGCGGAGCCTACACCCATCTGTACTGGATAAACACCGTAGAAAGTACCGGTCGGCACGACTTCCTGCTGCTGCTGCTGCTGTTGCTCTTGCTGCTGAAGAACCAGCTTCTGCTGCTGCTTCCGTAACCGCCGTCGAATACGCGCTCTCTCCTTCTCCTCCTCAGTCTTCTCCCTCTTAGGCTTCTTACCGATAGAGGTGTTTCCGTCTAGAATCTGCTTCTTAGGAGCCCGTGACGGAGTCAGCGGTGCGACAACGACTTCCAGGTTAACATTTGACGGAGCTCCTCCGTCGACCACTCCCGACTCTTGCTGCTTCCGCATCTCCACGATCTTCCGGTGAGAATTGGAATGCTTCTCCGGCTGGAATTCCGGGCTGCTCGCGGGCCTATACTCCGGACACAACCGTCCGGATTTGTACCTCACTCCACAGGCGTTGCAAAGGGTCTTGGGACCCATAGGGCCCGCTCGCCACTGGGGGGTGGTCGTTGACGAGCAATGGGTGCATCGGCGAATGTTGCCATCCTTGTCCTTCCCATCGGGACTCCCTTGTGGCTTACGCTTCTTGGATGGCTGCTTGGCTACAGAGTCTACTTGGTTCGTCGAAGCTGATCGAGGCAAATCAGTTCCACTGAGGGTAAGTGAACTAATGTCCGAGGTCGCAGGATCAGGGCCACCGATTAAACCCCTGGATTGAGGTTCAAGCGATGGAGGAACAGAGTTGAGCGGACCCAGCGGCGGACTTGTGCAGAAATTCCGTTCCTCAGAAAATCCACCAATACGTGCGTCTTCAATCTCTCCCGTAGGCTTTTCATAACAATCGTCGAACTCGTCGCTGCTGCCAACCCCAGCGTCTTCCGGAACCACATGCGAGATCACGTCCGTCGACCAGACCCGCTTCATAATCCGCATGCGCTTGCTGCGGGATCTGGAGGAGAGAGCACACGAATCTGCCGGATTGAGATCGGCATTCCTCAATGACAAATTCGGAGTTTCGTACTCGACAAGAGCTGGTTCACCAAGTCCTTCAAATGGCCGACCAGGAGACAGACGCACGGTAAGAACTGAAACGGGACTGCCTTCTCGGTGAGATCCGGTGGAAGAATGAAACCGCTTGTGGTGCGGCGGTGATTGCAACGGCCATGATGGTTTGACGCAGGGGGTCTCGGGTGAGGATGCGTAGACCTCCTGCGTTCTCTCAGTGACGACTGGCGGGGCTGGAGCCTCAGACAATGAATAATCCTGCAGCACATAGCAAGAAGGAATAGATTTAGCTGGATGACATGAGACTGATCGACCAAATCAGACCATTGACACGAAATATATGAGCGGTATCTGATGGGCAGTTATTAATCAATTACTAACCTCGGAGTCCCAAGGAGGAAGAGGAGTCGGAACTTCGTTCAGGGTTCGGATATCCACAGTCGCAGGCGCCTGGAGGTTTAGTTGATTAATGGGACCAGCGATGTCATCGTCGGCGATAGCCAATATGTCATCCTCAAGCTGCAGCATACTCTCGTCCAAGCACAGAATGTCCATGAAATCGCCTTCCGCTTCATTCTGGAAATCATCCTGCTCAGCGAGATCGAGAGGGAGAACGAACATTTTATCAGCGACGAAAGCTCGTGATTGATTTTATATTAGTGTGTGGATTCGTTACATAAGATTTGTAAGCTTGGCTACCACACCACGGCACGAATCTGAAGGAAACAATAACTTACAAGTGAGATTTGGCAGTGCTCAGCGTCCTCTGCAATAACGTCGTCGCAGTGTTGAAGTTGCTTTACCGAGCAACGTTCCGCAGGAGAGAACGAATCCGCTGTCAAAGAGCCATCTTGTTGAGCCATGGCTGAAACCTCCTATGTTTCAAACTTTCAAAACCTTGGGATCTGATCAGTTTAGGAATGCGGTTTCTGTGTCAGAAATGAAAGAGAGCACCAGGAGTCTGACAGGAAATGGTTTCTGGGTCTCCGTCTGTGAGTTGGATGGACAAGCAGGGATGGACTTTCAGCTGACCTCGCCGACAGAAGTGGTGCTTCGCTGGACTTGACGGACTGGAGAAACGGTAGCTAGCAATTCAACTGCAAAACACATCCGTCTTAAATTTAGGCGGTGCTCTGTAATATGGGTGTCGACGGACCCTGAAGTCCGTCGCTTTGGTTCCCCGAGCCACTGACTTCCGTCAAGCCGAACCAGCGAATGTGGTAAGCAGGGGTAATTGTTCAGAAAAAGAGACAATCAATGGGCGCCACGTGTACCGACTGCAGCTTTCTGACCGCACCTCTGGGCTTAGCCAGTCACATTGGCGTGTGTAGGCGGGACGGGTCTCAAGGGGTTGCCGCACCCCGCACGGTTTTGGGGGAAAGAAGCTTCGACATGGAAAAAAACTCATGGACAGGAGGGCAGACTCCCTATTGGCTGCACCACAACCAGGAGAGGGGTAGTTGGAAAAAGGGAGCGCTTTTTTGCCACGTCAAGGAGGGGCTGAAACAAAACCCGTGCGGTTACTGTTCTTTGTACTGCCCGGAGGACCTGGTATCCATTTCCCGCCAGCATTTGAATGCCACATACCCACACGTGAGAAGTGGGAGGGAACTGGGAGGGAACTGGCAGGGTGGCACATGTGGTGGGCAGAGAGGCTCGAGGATGTCAGAAAGCAACGGCACCCTATTTGTTGAACTTGGATCTTTGGCAGATCACTGCCTACATAAATTCTGCCAGGAAAGGCGGAATCCTTGTTACGTCAGTTCCCGCCATCTTGGGTTGGGACTTACACATTGCGGAATTTCAGCAGAGACCGACAACTGTCTCTCTGAAGAATGGACAACCAACAAGTGAGGCATCAAGTGCTAATAAGATATTCCTTTGTACTGTTCAATACCTGATTCAATCATCTCCAGTTTAGAAGACAGTACATGGATATTGGGCCTGGAAAGATGCAATTATGAATATACCAACATCTCGGACACAGCCCATGCACTAAAAATTCAGGTTACATTGGCAGAGATTGATGCCAGAATATCTAGTGGTTTGGCACTGTCATATGCGTGGCTTGAAAACACATACAGTACGTTGCTGTCGCACCAATGGGATTGCCCTTGATATGGCCAAACAAGGCAGTTTCAATGAAAGTGCTCGAACAAAAAGGACACCACATGCCAATACTAATGCTGTACAGGGAATGCATGAGGTTTGCAACGGTGCTGGAGATGGTTCATGGAACACGAAATGTGGCCGGTTCATGAAAGGTTAGCCAAATAAGGTGGAAACGAACAAGACTAGTCAATGCATACTCCTAGTCCGCAAGGGATGCGGGGTTCATGAGTGTGGGTGACCTGGAAAGTACGATATAGTGGGTCCATGAGGCCTGTGGGACGGGGCGACAATACAATCAAGCATCCCTCCATGTCGGCTCCGTATCACCGCGGATAAAAGCGCAGCTGCGCTTATAATAAAATAATGTTGTTGGGGGGGTGCGCTTCTAATTGAGGTGTCTGTATAAGCGCATGTGCCTAAAATAAAGGAACAAACGAAATTCACTTTTAAACCTACTAAACTGAAGCCCGCAATAAGGCGAATCCAACGGACCATGCAAAAAGTGGGATCGTGCATGGTTTACAGGCAAAAACAGCTGTGGTTCGGTTTCCCACCGCACAAACCTGTCCAGAACCATCGAAAGAGACAGCAGTGACGGGGATGTTGCAGTGCGGCCCAATCACAGCTGCATGCGCTGCGTGGCATCTGCATTTCTTCCGAACCCTCTCGAAGGGTGGGGAAGATTCTTGCCAGTGCAGCGAATATGCTGCCACGCAGGTTCCTCTATGGGGGTAGGCGGGGCTTTCCTGCCTGTCATTGACGAGGACCCCGAGCCGCTAGTCCGCAAGGGTCCCCGTCGTTGCCCATTTCTACACCCTCCTCCTCATTTTTTTGATTCAGTTTCTAGTCTAGCCCGCTTGGCTGGCGAAGCCATGGCGGAATTCAGTGGGACGCACTTCCTTTTCAAGAAGAAACCAACTCGCGTCTGGCAACTTACCTCGGACGGGTGGTATACCCGTGAGCCACCAGCGCCTCCAGTGCCACCTACACCCCCTGCACCGCCTGCTCCGCCTGCCCCTCCTGCACCTCCTGCTCCTCCTGCTCCTCCCGCTCCTCCGAATCCTCCGACTCCTCCTGTTCCTGACGCGAATTCTCACCATCGGCCCATGCTCCAATTGTTTTTGCCTGCCACTTTCGACGAGTGGCTGTCTGAACCGGACACACCTAAGGCTAAGCGAATCGATGCTCCGCCGACTGCTCCGCGGTGGGGAAATCATGAAGCCTGCACGTGGGACGAGTCGGCTGTGGGCGCCGAAGATGACGTGGCCGCCGATAAACAACCCACATGCGACGGTGACGCTAGAGGCGACGGTGGAGGCGACGGTGGAGGCGACGGTGGAGTCTACGATGAAGAGGGCGCCGAGGAGGACGTGTTCCCGGATTGTGAAGCTATAGACGCGGACGACGATGGCGTGGAATCTTGGTGGCGCGACGCACCACGCGAGAAGATGCCGATACCGATGTATCCGCCGCTTAACAAAAAACGACCCCACCCCTCCTTTGAGAACCGAGATGCCCGCCCCCCCCTCTCCCAGGCACACGCCGACTCAACACAAACGGCAGCGCTACACCGCCCAGGAGAAACTGAAGTGGCTCGTTCGGCTGGAGCTTGCGGCATCGATACGCGAGGTCGTGCGGGAGTCCGGCATACACTGCAAATGCCTCACGGAGTGGAAAAACCAAGCGGAGGAGCTCAAGGCTGCACATAGCGCACGGTGTCGACTTCATGGGCGCAGAAGGTCTTCATGGTACAGACCCATGGAGATGAAGGTGTACGCCCAACTCCTGGACTGGCGACGCCGCGGTGTAGCAGTATCAGTCGGCCGAATGCAAGA